CCAATTGAGTAGCTCTACTCTGACATATAAGGCCACTAGGAGTTGTAATTTAGTTCGTAGCCATGGGTTCTGCACACCAGTCTCGGCCAAAAGATAAGATCAGTGAACTCAGGTTAGTAGAAAATGTACAAACTGAAAAAAAAAAATTAGAAACAAAAAGATACATAGTTAAGATCCTTGGGTAAGTAGCAACTGGTCTAACATCAGTGTAACTGTAATCCCAGAAAGAGAGGACGAATGAGAACCAAGTTTGAAGAAGTAATAGCTGAAATTTCCCAGAACAGCGAACAATAGCTATCCAGATATTTAAGAAACAAGGCGAATCTCAAGCAGAGTAAATACAAAATAAACCATACCACGGCACACCATAAAAACTGGTTTAGAAAAAGGAAAGATAAAATCATATAAACAGCCATAAAGAAGAGATGCGATCTTGTTTAAGGACAGGTATTGAGTGGCTGTCATGTAAACCTATGATGAGGCAGCCTCCCCCCTGCCCCTGCCCACCGCAGGTAGAAAGCCCTATCATCAGAGGGAGGGGAGGACGTTGGGAAAGACCACTGAGCAGAGGGGAAGGGAGCAAGCACGTCTGGGGGAGCACAAAGGCAGGTCTGGGGGTAGGAAAAGAGGGAGGACCGACCCCCAGGTGGGGGGAAGAATGACAGAAAAGGCTTTGGGGACCCTAGGGGGGAAGTGACTCTGGTGGCATGCAATAAATGGGCCACAATGAACTCGGGAGTCTAGGGGAATCTTGGGGACCCAGGCCAGGTCCTTGGAACACTGGGTTACTGAATCCTGGATCTTTGGGGCACACAGCATGCCCCAGAGGCTACACCAGTGAGCTCTCAAGTGAGAATTCCATTAGATGAACTGGGGCCTACCTCAGACACACTTGTAACCCGAGGACTTCAGTTGGAAAGTACGTGGTGCCTGAGGAAGCAGAAGACCGCTGTACCAAGAGCAGTGACCTGCTGGTAGGTGGACCCTCAAGGTCCTGCTTCATCAACATCCAATACACTGCATTAAGAAATGCATCCTTCTGGCAAATGGGCAGCAGACATTCTGTTTGTGCTTGTTCTTAGGAGGGTGCCTCAGAGGCCCTGTGGCATTGGGACTCACCTGTGGAAGTAGTGTGACTTGTTTTGTCTTTCTGTAAATGAATCCCAGGATTGATGAGTCTATGGGACAGAAAATAGAATAACGGTAAGGGGTGGAGGGGAGGGAGTATAGGGAGTTGGGGAGGAGTACAAGGGAGACGACATAAAGGAGACCAGGAAGGAAAGGTATGTTAAGAATCTGACTATTGGAGCAATCGCACAGTTCCGTTTGACCAGACTGAACTATGGAATGATGTGCCATATGTATTAAGCACCAAGTAATAACAAATTAAAAGTAAAACAAAAACATAGATCCAGAAATGGGGTCAGGACTTACACTAAATCTAGCTCCAACTTAAGAACAACTTGTGCTTACATCATGGCCATGCTCAATACTCGTCCTCAGGAAGAAAACACAAGACCTGGGAGCTATAGAAAACGTGGCCAAGGATGTAGATGGTGCCCGGCTAGCAGGTAAATTACTGTCTGGGGTCTTAAAGGAGGTCTAAGGAGGGACTAGTATCAGAGCCTAAACTGCGAGAATCTGGTACACAGAAGGCTACTGATGACAGTGGGAGCCCAATTTAAAATACTGGAGATCATGTTTTAAACTATAAGGCTGTAGTTTATTACCCTTTCTAAAACTCTAGCCTCAAGAAATACTCTAAAAGGAAAGTAACTATATCAAAATAGGCATAAGATTCCACAAGATTCATTTGTGGGACTACATAGGAAATAAGTCTCTGGGGACTCTGTCTACAATTGAGGGATGGGAGGAAAGTGGCCACTAAGCAGAGAACTGTGAAGAGATCAGTACAGAAGATCAAAGGCATTCATCTTACTTGAACAGTTAAAACTTTGTCAGTCGATCCCCCCTACGATGTATGCTGAACCTGATCTGGTTTCCAAAATCGTCTGTATTTTGGGTTTGAATTGTTTGGTTTGGTTTTAGTTTGCTCACATTAGGGTGTATCTCAGAAGTGTTATATCATTGGAGGTCCCCCTCTTGAAGTTGTGTCCTATGGTTTTCCATTTTTCTATATATGAAACCCAGGATTGATGAGCCTATAGAGACAGCAAGTAGAATAAGGCTTTTGGGGAGAGGGGTGCAGGGTGGAGAGGGAGTGAAGGGGAGATGATGTCAAGGAGCCCATGGAGAAAAAGAATGCTGGGAAACTGATGGTGATAGCAATTGTACAATTCTGCTGGACAGGATTGAACCATGGGATGATAAGATTACATATTCATACATATACATGATAAAGCATCCTACAGTGGGGTGAGGGCAAGAATGATGATGGTTCACTTTTCAGCAGAAACTACAGAATCCAGGGGGGAAAAATTAGAATTTTTTTTAAATGCTGAAGGAAAGAGCTCTTAACTATAAGTCTGTGTCCAGGGAATTATTCTGAAATAAAGGTAAGCATTTATATATTAAAGCAAAATAATGCCTATTTTGACATAGTCACTTTTCTTTTAGAGTATTTCTTGGGGCTAGAGCTAGAAAGGAAAATAAATTACAGCCTTATAGTTTAAACCATGATTTTCATATTTAAAAAATAAAGGTGTATGAGACTCGTGGTCTAGAACACTCAGTCATTTCCACCGTAGCTCAGTGCATACCATGGTCCTGCTAACATGTAGGAGGCCATGAGGAGCAAAGGGGGCATTCAGGTCATGAAAGGAGTCTGCCTCTGCGGTGACATGCAGGTGCAGTGGGTCCTAGAGGAGAAACCCGCTGGACTGGGAAGGACACATGTGAATGGTAACCACAAAGTTTGCATAGACATCAAGGAGAGGGGATAAAACCGTCAAGCCAGGAACGAGACCATGAGATAATAGAGTCTTCACAACACGGAGTGCGACATTCCTGGGATGGTCCCCTGCAGCATCCCTGACACGTCCTCTTTGAGTGGAATTGGACCTTAGGGATGTGTGGGATGTGCACGGTGACAGATTGTCAGTAGGAAGATCAGATGAGGCTTTCATTGCCCGCCCAGTGCTCTGAAAGTGTGACTGTGAACAAATGCCCTTGATTGAGCTGTGTGCGCGCGCGTGCGTGCGTGCGTGCGTGCGTGCGTGTGTTTTGGAAGGGTTGTCTGGCATTTCAAAACGAGACATAGAATTCTCAATCAACAGGTAAAAAGGGAAACAGGAAATTGCCGGGAAAAACACACTCACTATTGGTTGCTTGGCACTGAGGAGGGCCTTTCCAATCAGAAAGCTGTAGGAGAGGAGGCCCCTTGCTTCCAATGAGAACACTCAGACCATCCTGAGGGTGCAAAGCAAACTCCACAGCAGTTTCAAAGACCCGTTCCCAGGCCAGGCCAGGCCAGGCCTATATTCTGCAGGATTTTATCATGTACAAGTTCATCAAGTGTGCTTGAGCTCAAGCAGAAAAAATACACCACGTGTTCAGTTCACATAATTCCGTGCTGTAGATAGGCTCCTATTTTAAAAAAGCATAAAACCATATCTCTGTCAACAACAACAAGCCTTCTCATTGGAGGGTCGCTGTGCAATGTCCATGGGCCTCAAATGCACGTGGGTCACATAGCCGCTGCTACAGCTTCTGGAAAGTGTGAATTACTATGCATTTAATCCCGCCCTGGGTATTTGACAAGCAGAAATGATGGCTGCTCTACAGTGACGTGACATCTGGGCAGGAAAAGTCCAACCACAAACACACGTCTCTGAAAGTCAGAGACCAATGACCCATGCCCGGCTTTCTCATTAACACCACATGCTTTCTGTTAACTCATTACCTAGCAGCTAATTGCAAACACCAACATTTGTTTTTTTTAAAGTAGCATGTGAGAACTCAAACATTTTAAATAACGTACTTATTAACTTTTTCCCCCTTCTGTGAATTGGTGTTTGTGTGTGGTGGGGAGGAGGAAGAGAAGCTAGTTCTTTCTTTCCAGTGACAATTTATACAACTTTTATGATTTTTTTATTAAACGATTTTATTGGGGGCTCTTTCAGCTCTTATAGCAATCAATACATCAATTGTATCAAGCATATTTGTACATATGTTGCCATCATTATTTTCTAAACATTTACTTTCGATGTGTCACCGGGTACCTGAGATCCACAGGTGTAAACTCTGAGAATGCTCACAGACCTTTGGAGTTGTTCCCAGATAATAAAAGGAAGTAAAGGTAAAGGAGGCTCATAATTCTGCATATTTTTTCCACATATCCTCTAACGGAAGTGTACGTTCCATCTGATAGAATAGATCTGATCAAGAAGTTGATGTGTCTCAGAGGCACAGTACTTCATATATTCAAAGAGCACTCTTCTCTGCTAGCATGCCTTGGGAACTTATGCCTTGTGGGGGCATTCTTGTCACAGGCAGATGCCTTCCTGACAGAATTGGACTGTTCACATAGAGCTATTTACAAACATAATCCTCTGCTCAGGGGGAAGACCAATGTACCAAAAAGAAATTTAAGTGACCTCCCCTTGGCTGGGTGAAGAGGACAATCCTGTTGTGACTTCTAAGTAGCTAGAATATCCAACAAGAGAATCTTTAGTGTAAAATGCGTTGGTTTGCTATTTAACTGAAGAAGCAAGTGCATTGGTATTCATGAAGCGGGCTGTTGTTAGTTGCTGTCCAATTGATTCCTTTTCACGGAGACCCCAGCTGTGGATCAGAACTGCTCCATGGGGCATTTCCAAGACTCGGACCTTTCCAAGGGGTCTCCAGACAATCAACAAGACTATACTGTATTACAAGGTTGTGTGAAATCCCTGTCCCAAGACCGTGCTGGTGGGAGTTCAGAGCCCCAGGGTCATTGGCCTGATAGCCCGCAGCTCATGCTCCGGCCTCTGCTGCCCTCTGCTACCACCTGCTTCCTTCTTTCTGAGCCCATTACCCTCTCTGGTTGTCTGATCCTTCAGGGTCCACTAGTTCCTGGACGATGGGGATCAATGACTCACCAAACGTCACGGATGACGCTGCGGATGAGATCATGGACCGCATTGTCAAGTCGGCTACCCAAGTGCCCAGCCAGCGCACGGTGCCCAGGGAGAGGAAGCGATCCCGGGCCAACAGAAAATCCTGTGAGTGTACTGCAGGGGTGCTGAGGGACCCACTCTCTTGTGCCGTGAGCCTCTGGGAAGGGCAGCCACAGGAAGTCTGGCTTCCAAGCATGGTCTGTGTCTGCCTGCCCTGCTCATCTGCACAGACCAACAAAGCCTTTCATGCCCTCATCTCCTGGTGGTCACATGGAGGGAGGGGGCTGCCGCCACACACAAATACAGTGTCCCGTGTATTTGCCATTTCTACCAGGCCTCTCGGTTCATATTCTGTCCCCAGGAAAGCCTGAAAGGACCTTGCCTGTCACTGGTGTGTAGGACCCTGGTCTCGTACTGCCCAGGTCCTGTGCTAAAGGCTTCCCTTCTGCCTCCCCAGGACTAGGGTCCACATCCTGGCCTGGAGGTTGGTGCTACCTGCTTCAGAGGCAGTGTCTTCTATACCGTTGGCCACAAATGTTGAAGCGTAAGAAACAAACAGTCGAGAACATTTCTGATCACTGGGGTGCTTGAAACGATTCATGTTCCTCTAGGCTGTTTTTTCAGTCTTGGCCTTTTGCTACCAAACAGAAGACCCATCTAAGTCAAAGTGGTGGTTTTCCCTTAGGCTGCGCTCCCTCTGCCTGCTCCTGCCCACTGGGATGTGGTGTTATGTTATAGGCGCAGGTACAGCGCCCACTCAAAGGGACCCTCCTCGGTGGAGAAACCAGCTTCCCATGCATCTTGTAACACTTGCCTGCATTAGTTGTGGCCCTTGGGTGTTTCAGGAGGGAACCCCGGCCCTCGATCCGGCCATGCCAGGCCACTCCGGAAACAGAGGGAGTGAGTACTTGTCTCCTCCAGCTCTGTCTCCAGGGATAAGTGAGGGTCGAGAAGGAGTTTGTGGGACACAGTCAGAAGGAAGCCTAGTTGCCTTCCTCTGGAGGGGGGGCGGGGCGCAGAGTGACAAGGGAGTGACTGCAAATAGGTAGGTGATCAATAAGAACTAAGCTTTGGGAGAGCCAACGTGTCCACCATGGAGATCCTCCCAGGAGGTGATTGGGCATTGGGATGCCTACTTGTGGGGCCCAGTGGTTCTCTTTGGCACATTGCCAGGGCTTGTTGCTCTTGTGGCTCTTACTCTAGTTGCACGATCTGCTTCTGTTCCTGCCTGGAATCTCTTCCCACGTTAGAAATGGGGACGGGGACACTCCCAAGAAGTAACTGAGCATCTCAACGCGCTGGAAGCCTGTGGAACAGCTATTCTTGTTCAGGAGACTGGGTGGGGCCTAGAATCTGTTTCTAACAAGCTCCCAGATGAGGTAGATGCCCTGGGTTCTTGGTTTGCATTTAGAGTAACAGACTTCTGAGCTGTGGTTCCCAACCATGTCCCTGTTAGAATCTTTTACAGAGCTTTAAAATTCGAGGTGCCTTCCCTGCATCCAGGCCAACTTCTTCAGAACCTTGAGTTGGGGCCCACCCCTGCCTCTCACATGCACCCCAGCTGTAGTTCCTCCGTATTTAAAATGGAAAAAACAAAACCAAAGATCCAGGAGAAATGCACCTTTCCCATAATCAGAAATATGTATGTGGGTCTCAGTATCAATAGCCAAGCCCCTTGTACTGCACACTCACACTCACATACACACACACACACACATACACACACAATACTGTTTTCATGGTGCTCCTCTGAATTCACGGCCTGTCTCCATGTGCACTCCTGTAAGAACTTATCTATGGACTTGCTACTCAGAACTGGTCCTCAGACAATATGAACATCTCCTGAAGCAGCAGTTCTCAACCCGTGGGTCACGACCCCTTTGGGGGATCAAATGACCCTTTCACAGGGGTCACCTGTGTGACCCCTGTAGCAAAATTAGTTATGAAGTAGCAACAAAAGTAATGTTATGGTTGGGGGTCACCACAACATGAGGGACTGTATGAAAGAGTCCCGGCATTAGGAAGTTTGAGAACCACTGTCCTGGAGGCTTGTTGAAAAATGCAGATGCATGGGCCCCTCCCAGTACAACCGATTCAGAATCTGCATTTGAAGTGATCCCTGGATGATCCACGAGCCAATAAAGTGGAGACAACCAGGACTGTGAGACCAGGAATAGAATTATGGGCCCTCGGTTGCGTCTCTTCAGCCTCACTCCATCATGACAAACTCCTCCTCAAATCCACCCGCATGCCACTGTATATTGGTCTCAATTGATTCCAGCTGAGCCAACGTGTCAACTGTTGCCTCTCTGACGGGTGTGAGTGAAATCGTACCAGAACTCCCTTGCGGATTTAATTTGTGCTTCCCCGCCCACTAGGCATGCCGGGCCTTGTTCTATCACACACAGCATTCTTTACATGTTTCAGTTCCTGAGTTCAGTCATTTATTGTAATGGACAGACAGAACTCACAGACAAAAGGCAGGATTAAAGGGTTTGTTCAGGGAGTTAGAAGGTTACAGGAAAGCAGGGGAGAAATTCTCAGGATCCTATTGCTCAATCAGGACATGTTACAAAGGTTTTTTTTAGGGCTGCTAATAAATGCCCCAAGAGCATAACACCCAGAGGCACTCCGCTCCAGCTCCTAGGGTCAGAAAACCCAGCTCCCCCAATAAAGTGTCCAGAGGCACCCTACTCCACAAGCCAGCCCTCTGCCCCAAAGCTGTCCATCGCCCTCTCCTGCTCTGGCTCCTGGTTCTGCTGCTGCTGCTCTTCTGCCATGACCCTGATGCCACAGCTGTTGTCTGGATGGAGGAGGTGCACTGTGTAGGGATCTCACGCCACGCCTGGCTCTTGCTGGTAATAAGATTTCCCTCTTCCTGCTCCTGAGAGGGTTCATTTTATTCCCCGCAGGACGGCAGTCGCAGTAAATCCTGTTAACACACACTCAGAAGGGAGCCCTATCAATGTCTTCCCCAACCACCTTCTACTCAGACCCATGGGGGAAGGGCCGTTGGGTGGGAGTTACAGAGCAGGGGCTGGAGGAGCCCCATTGCATAAATTGCTGCCCTGCAAGCCTGTTGCTGTTGGCCCTGGTTTTTCTCGGGGTGGCTTATGCATATCATTTGCCCTTGTTTTTTATTGCTCTCTGTCCTGAGAAGAAATGTACTTCACAAAGAACCTTTCTGTGAATGTGTAAGAGGCTTTACGCGTCCTCCAGTCAACCTACTTCTGTGCTTGCCCTTTATTGCCCCTCCTTCCAGTGACCTCTATTAAAAAAGCAAACCAAACACCAGTGGCAGCTTACGCCGCCCAGGTTTGCAGTGGCTCAGATCTTTGGGAAGGGGTGACCAGGTCTTTCTCGTGAGGAGCCTCTGGGTGGATTCAGATGTCCAAGCTTTTCCAAGAGAAAACACATAACCATCTGTGCCACTCCTGGGAGTTAACGCAATGAACTGGTTAAAACAAAACAAAACAAAACAACTTGCTGCCACAGAGTTGATGCCAATTCATAGCAACCCCCTCAGACAAGGTAGAACTGGCCCTGTGGGTTTCCAAGACTGTAACTCTTTAGGGAACTAGAAAACTCTTTCTCCCACGAAGCAACTGGTGGTTTTGAACTACTGATCTTGCCATTAGCGACCCAATTCCTAACCTCAACATCATCAAGGCTCCTATTAAACTCATAACTGGTAACCAAATGGCAGAAATGTTGCACCAGTTAACTAAGGTGACCAGATTTTAACACTGGTAAAGCAGGACACCACTGGTAAAACTCATATCCTGGCAAAATAGCCAGATGGCAGCCAAAAACCATATACCCTAGCTTGTCGTACATTCTTTCAAAAAATCGGGACTTTAAAAAAATGCCGTTGTTCAAAAGCGGAACGTCTGGTCACCTTACAGTTAACTCCTGGTCCGGCTGAAAGGACAGCATCAGTGTTAATAATCAGCCAAGGGGGACTGGGAAAAGCATCCACTGGAAGATCAGGCTCCAGGTGCCAGGCCTGGAAGTGTCCTGACAGAGGTGGACAGGGTTAGGCCAGGGACTTCAGAGGAGAAGACTCCGTGGGCCAGTGGCCAGTCCCCACAGGTTAAAGTCTGGTTTGGGGATTAGAGCTGGCTCCTCCCTCTGGTCCCGGAGAGGAGTTGATTCCTAGAGAGACACACACAGTGTCCCCAGGAAGAGAAACTCAGTCACAATTAATTCTCCTCCTCTGTCTGGCCAGAGAGAGTGTTGGCCTGTTTTTGTGGTTGACATAAACTAATTTCCTGTGGTATAGTTTTTATTCCAAGATGATGCAAAACAGCTGTCTGTTCTTATTTAGCCAAACATTGTATCCTGTGACGCAGTTACTGCAAGAAATCTAGCACTGCATGCATGTAAGTGTTTATCTGTTACGGGCGTAACGTATCAGTAAAGGCACTATGGGCGCAAAATAAAAGCAGTAAAGACGTGGGAGGTAGATGGGCGTTTCAGTTCTAAAGGGATGATAACTCCTTTTAGATTCTCACGGGAGGTTACAGGGATCCGGGCAAATGCTTTTCCAGAGTCAGTGCGAAGGTTAGTCGTTGTTTAGCCCTCAGTCTAGAGCAATGCTGGGTTTGACCCGGTCGATGAATGTGGCGATGAGGCAAGTGGGCAATGAATAACCCACATACTTGGACTGTAACTCATTTGGCTAAAGACGATCACAGTCCAGCTATGGCAGAAAACTAAACAGAATCCATCCCATAACCTGAGAGATTTATGACACGCAAGTCACTTGGGGAGTTGCGGGGATAATTAAGTGTCTGTTTTTGTGTTTGATGCCCGTGGCTAGGCCCACACATGCCAAACATCCTGCTGATGCTGAAGTGCACAGCCAGCTGGGGCCCTCTGAGGGCATCTTAATCAACCCACAGCCTCCCCTGGCTCAGGTCAGCCACTTTTCCAGCTGGTGCCAATCAGGGTCTCATTATGTAAAATGTTCACATGGGCTTCTCTCGTCCTTGAAACAGTTGGAGCCAACTCACCTTATGTGACCCCCCGTACCCCGCACCCCCCCCC